GTGCACGGTGCTGCTGTAGCGAGAGCCATTGCAATGCTTGGCCTTCCAAGCTAATGGTGCCAAAACGCTGTTTTTTCGGCTCCGATTGCCCGCCAAATTCAAAGTGTCGCTCGGCGCGTGAAATCCAGCCCAAAACATTCGTGCCACCGAACACCGGTATCTCAACTTGAAGGACTTGGATTCCGTCGACCGGCTGTGCGACTGCTGCTCAAGCCTCGGAGGCGATCAGACCCTCCTCCGGAGTCGGAATTAGCGGCGGCTCCTGCCCCACTGAAACAGACAAAGGACGGCTCTGAGAAGCCGACCCCTCTGGCTCACTCTCTTCCCAATTTCTGTTACCGGTGCATAGAATCACCAACAACTTTTCAATTGCATCCATCCGACGACCATGTTTTGCAATCATGTCCTGCTGTATTGCCGCCATCTCCTACTGTTTCGCAGCCATCTCGTCCAGCTTGGTGAGTGACGGTTGATTCGCCGCCACCTCCTCCTCCAAAGTTTCAATATGCTGCCCTTGATTTTTCGCTATACTCTGATACCAATTTTGTTAGAATACTCCAGCAAAAGGTACTCTTCTCTTATTCAATAATAACTAGGTAGGCTTGATTATTGAGAGGCCACCAACTCTCTCTACAAGAATAAACCCAAAATTTCAATAATCCCCCTTTCCTGCGCTTATTCTTTTTATACTAAAACAAAACCCTAAAATAAGTAAACCCTAATAAATCAACTTAATTAAAATAATAAAACCAATAAAATAAAACATAACCAACAGAACCGAAAACCAAACCAATCCTGATGCTGAAGTTGACCGACGACGATCAAGCCCGTCCCTTGGCCTGCTCTTCCTGATCAGCTGCGCGATTCAACCAATGCCTCCGCTGTTTGTCTCGGACAAACACCTTTAAAGGCTTACCAAACAACCTAAAGGTTTTCAGAAACAAGGGGAAGAACATAAAGTTTGTCTCCTACAGAGGTCTTTGTACGAGCTCAAGCAATCACCGAGGCATTGGAATATCAAGTTCGACAAATTCATTCAAGCACATGTATTTGTTAAGAATTGCTTTGATCCTTGTGTATATTTCAAAAGGAATAAAGAAGGTTACATGACGTATCTGATGATTTACGTCGATGATATGCTGATAGCGGTAAAAGATAAAGCTTAGTTGCAGAGATTAAAGCAAATTCTGAGTGCATAATTCGAAATGAAAGATTTGGGTTCAGCAAAGAGAATGTTGGGTATGACAATTCAGAGAGACTGGTCAGTGGGCTCTTTGGTTCTATCACAAACGAATTATCTTGATAAGGTGTTGGCTCAGTTCAGTATGAAGATGCGAAGGCAATACAGATGACCCTTGGTTAACATTTCAGATTGTGTACTTCCAAGAATCCAAAGGAATATGATTAGAAGTTTTCAAATTCGATACCATTACGCTATGATCAGAACAAGACCAGACCTAGCGTATCCGGTTGGTGTTATAAGCAGATTTATGGGAAAACATGAGAAGGAGCATTGGAAATCAGTAAAGTGGGTTTTGCGATATATAAAAGGAACAAGAGGTTTTGGATTGAGATATCAGAAGACAAACTCGATGAAAGTTCTTGGTTTCTGTGACTCAGACTTTACTGCAGACTTGGACAAGCAGAGATCAGTAACTGGTTTTGTTTTCACTGTAGGGAGAAACGTATTGAGCTAGAAATCAGGTTTGCAAAGTGTTGTAGCTCTGTCGACAACCGAAGCAGAATATATGGCATTGACCGAAGTTGTAAAAGAAGCACTATGGTTGAAAGGCTTAATTGGAGAACTTCGGTTCAAAGAAGAAACTGCTGAAGTAATGTGTGATTCACAGAGCGCTTTGGATTTATCTCAAAATAGCGTTCATCACGAAAGCACGAAATATATTGACGTTCGTCTTCATTTCATCCGAGATGTCATCGCAAAAGGGTCCGTGAAGGTGCTTAAAGTTCATACCAACGATAACCCGACAGATCTTCTTACAAAGACGATTCCCATAGTAAGCTTAGTAAACTACTAGGCTTGCTTAAATTGACAGATACATGATATCTGATCTAAAGGGAGAGATAAAGAGATGATTGAAGGGTTGTTTTGTAGAAACTGAAATTCTCAGACAAGGTGGAGTTTTGTAGAACAATGCTTGAAATTCAGTTTAAAGCCATATAATGAATCAGAGGGTTTCAAACCCTTATAACGAATCAGAAGGTTTACCGATTCAGGAAAACGGGAAACATAAATATCTTCTCCTTTCTCTGAGTAATATAAAGAGTGTTGAGTTGGGTGTTTTATTGATTTTGATTCAGATCTTCGAGTCTCTTGATTCTTGTAGCGTGTAAGCTCAGATCTTAGTGAAATATTCTCTCTCCCACCGAAACGTAGGATCGAACGCATTGTTCGATATGAACTTGTAATTCTTTGTGTCGTTCTTTCTTTTTTGCGCTGAATCATGTGTTCTTGTCTTGTGTTTGTTCTTCGCACAGAATCAGAGAATTTCGTGGTTTGTGACTAATCGGTGAGTGGAGAATTAAACAGGAAACCAGGCTCCCGATAGTACATGATGTTTCATAGAATTTTAGATGATGAAAAGAAAATAGACTTTAAAGTCGGAGTGAAAGCTTTATGAGAAGATTCAATTCTTTTCTCTCTCTGTTCCATCAACTTATAAAAAAAAATATGAATTGGAGTACGAGAAATTTATAAAGTTATTTTCTTCCATCAAACGAATAGAAACAAATCAAATCCAAGAAAAAGTTCAAGGAAATATATAATTGGTTCTGTATATATATATATATATATTATATAAATATAGAGTGCATTTTTTTTATTTTCAAAAAATGTATGTACACATAGTTTGAAGGTAAAAAAAATAATATCTAAAAATCCATCTTCTACAAGCGCCAGGCCAAAGTCCCGAAGATGGAGAAAGAGGAGAAGTGAATATATACCGGTTCGGTTATCGGTAGAATTTCAGACCGAATTAAACCGGTAATTTTAAAATGGAAGGTCGGTTTTATTTTTCCCGTATCACGATAAATATTTTTTATTGATAGAAACCATAGGATTAGATAGATGTTTCAACTGGTTATTAATTATTGTATTTCCTATAATATATATTTAATAATATTTTAAAATTTTATTTATTTATGTAGATGTTTTAAGCAGTTATAATAGGAGAGAAAACAGTTCATATGTATATTAATTTTTTTATAATTCATTATTTTTTTCGAGATTTTTCTTAATTTTTATTTAAATTATTTTTTCTAAAACATCAAAATCCTAAAAAAAGAAAGAAAAAATAAAAGGAACATGTAACTCCCAAACAAAACAAATGGAAAGAGAACTATACCGTTCAACATGGAAAGTAGGGGAAATAAAAAGACAGAACTAAACTAAGTTATAATTGCCTGAAAAAAATATTGAAGCAATGTTTTTCTAACTTTTAGCTATCATTCAATTTATTGAAATTCTCTTAACCATTTTCCTACCCCTAGCAGTTATTTGTAATATATAAATATTAATTGGAAATTCTCTAAAATTTTAAAGTCATTTTAAATCTATTACTTAACATTCATTGTCGGATTAAGTGTTCCTAATAGGTTGAGATGTATGTTTATTTTGTCATTGCAATTTGGAAATTATTGGCGGTATCACTTTTCAGATTGATTCCGCTGAAAATATTTTTATATTATTTTTCAGTCTAATAAACATATTTTTTATTTGTAATTTAACACTTATATCTATAATCAAAATAAATGTAAATGCATTGATTTCAAATGAATTTTTTTAATTCTTATTTTGTGTAGCAAAAATTATCGCTCTATGTAGTTTCAAAAATATAATGACCATGTCAATTTCTAAAATATCAAAAGAAATAGAACTTGAGAGACGTTTTAGGTAACATTTTCGATAAAATTAATCAAAATAACTCTTTGATATAGGGAGTTTCGCGTCTTTACAAAAAAAAAAAACAATTAGATAAGAATCTAGGTTGTTCTGTTTTTTCATCACCAAATCTAGTATGTTTTTTTATAATATTTTAAGATAATAATAATTTATTTTTTGAATATTTTTTTCTGTAATCAGATTGGTTCATACAATATGACCATCATTTGATCATACAATTATTGTGATCACATGATCACATCTAGAGGAGAGTATCTGCAGAAGTAATTTTAGCAAAAAGAAAGTATTTTGGATAATGTCCCGATTGGTCCACCGGTCTTTCGACCCAATTATATCCACCTTAAATCGGAAAACATTCTTGTTACAATTAAATTGTATCACTCCTCCCCAACGACCGCTCGAACACAGGAGCTATGACAAAGATAACACACTTCTCAACCATCTACAACCACTAGCCTATTCCGATTGGGTTATTTTTTGAATATGGACAGTGATATCTTAACTCTAGATAATAGAAGAAAACATACAGAGCATGATTGCTCATGCCTAAGTACTTCCATCTCTATATCTCATGCTAAATCAAAAGGTAATATATATATATATATATATATATATATAATCTTGGATTTGAGTTCTATAAAATATTATATACTAGGAATTATTTCGATCATCTAATATATATAGATTTGTTAATTGTCTATCCATGGTGGTCGTGTTTATAGTTTCAATTTCAGATATATTTTCATAATATTAAGAAAAAAAATATAATAGAAAACGAAGATTGTGATAGTTCAAAAGTGAACCATTTTGAAAACATGCATTTTTTATTTTATTTTTTGCATGAAAGGCATGTATGCCTAGATTTTAGTTAATCAACACGCTTTACCAATATATATAGTCACCTTATTGTTTATTTTTATTAACATAAATTCTTTTTATTTTGAATATAAAAGAGGGAAGTAGCTATATGCACCATTTGATTTATATATACATACATTAGTCACTACATAGATATATACAAGGAAAGTTCATTCCTCTTCTTTTGCATTGCATCAATCTGTAAATTTCCATTATAGAGAGAGAGAGAGAAAGAAAAGAAAGGAGAAAACGCAACATATACATATATACATATACTTGCATACATACATATACAGAGAATATGTGGCGAGAGTGGAAGGCACCAATGGCAGTGATATTACTGCAGTTTGGGTATGCAGGGTTATCTATAACAGCCAACTTTGCTCTAAGACAAGGCATGAGCCCTCATGTTCTTATAGTCTATAGACATGCCATTGCCACTCTCTTCATCACCCCTTTTGCCCTCTTCTTTGACAGGTCTCTCTCTCTCTCTCTCTGATCTCTCTCTCTCCCTCCCTCCATATATTTATATATCATCATCATTGAATATATAGTTGGCACATCATGAACACTAGAACAACAAATGAAAGGGGATCCGGATATTACAAACTTGTTCTCACAAGCTTTTGGTCTTGTTGCTTGAATTAACAGGAAAGTGAGGCCGAAGATGACTTGGCCCATATTCATCAAGATAGTGTTTCTGGGTTTGCTAGAGTACGGAACCAAACTCCCTACGCACATCTCCTTAGTAATTATAACCATTTTAAAGAAATACAAAGTCATACATATACATATACATATACATATACATACATATATGAATGAATGAAATACCATAGTGAAATTATTATAACTTGGTTTAACTTTTTAACTGCAGACCCACGATTGGTCAGAACTTGTTCTACACTGGCATGAAGTACACCTCGCCAACTTTCACTTCGGCGATGAGCAATGTTCTTCCTGCTTTTGCTTTCCTTATGGCTTGGATTTTCAGGTAATACCCTTATAATGCAGATATACATACATATATGCACAATTAATCAAAACATTTTTTTTTTCAGATTTAGGAGACTGTTGATAAGAATTTTTCATAGAAAGATCGTCGGTGGGTTTCATACGAGCATATGTGCCATTGTATAACTGCAGGCTTGAGAAGGTTGATATAAGGAGAGTACACAGCCAAGCAATGATTATGGGGACCATAGTAACAGTTGGTGGGGCAATGGCGATGGCACTGGTAAAGGGACCAAGCATGGACATACCATGGGTTCATAATCACCACAAAATCCATGATATGTACTTGAATTTGTTACAACAACAATCTCATCAGACCAAATCAACCACCAGCCATGATCCCACCAAAGGCGCACTCTTTGTTGCAAGTGGTTGCCTATGTTGGGCAGCTTTCACCACTCTTCAGGTACTTTTGGAACTCAAAATATCAGCATGCCATGATTGATTCAAAGATGCATGTATGCATATAGATAGATGTCCTTTCCTACAAGTATGTGTTTGTATATACAAGTTTTAGTTCCGTCGATATCATTGATGGTGACAAGTATCATTGGAGATTGATTAATCGGGTCGAATATCCAGACATCCCGAGTATTAAAAAAACAATGTTTTGATGGAAACATACGAATAAAATGGATCTTTTTTATCTAAATTTGGGTAATTCAACATGTGAAACATGGATGATTAACGTTTGTTCTGTCCCAAATTCGAATACGAAGGGATATTCATATAGATTTACTCGTTCCTTACGATTAGTATGGACTTCGATCCCCGATTACTAAAAAAATTGCTATTTTTTTTATTATTTATTGGCAGGCGCTGACACTGAAGGCATATCCTGCAGTGTTGTCGTTAGCTGCATGGATATGTTTTATTGGGGCAACTGAAGGTTCAATTGCCGCTCTTGTCATGGAGAGACACAACATCTCAGCTTGGTCTTTACACATTGATATCAAGTTGTTTGCAGCTGTCTATTCCGTAAGCACATATATATATATATATGTGTGTATGTATATGTGTAGTAGATATATACACTGATAAACTCACATGGTCATATTAAAGATGGAGAAATTTGATATGGGGGCTGTTTGGATGCAGGGAGTAATCTGCTCCGGAGTTGGGTATTATGTGCAGGGGATGATAATGAGGAAGAAAGGTCCGGTTTTCGTGACCGCATTTAATCCACTGAGTATGGTAATTGTGACCATCATTAGCTCACTTGTGTTTCATGAGGGTATCCACCTGGGCAGGTATGATTTATATAATTAAAATATAATTAGAATAATAACCATCAATGAGCCACACCAAACCATATATTAAATATAATTAAAATCATATAATATTAGAAACAAATCACTTAATCAAATATATGACCATGATTTCTTTTTCCTTTCCTTTTTTACCCGAGGAACATATAACAATATTTGATATACTAGTCGGTCCATATAAATATACTTTAATTAAAATGTTTTAATAAATTTAATTTGTAATTATTGTGAAGGGTGACGGGATCGATCTTAATCGTTGTTGGCTTATACTTGGTCCTGTGGGGAAAAAGCAAAGATCAAACGGAAGCTTTGCCGAATTCGGACATTGAGAAGACGGCAGCAACCAAACACCGCAACAAGATTTACAATGAAAACGAGGAAAGATCTGACGAAGAAACGAGGGCGATTGAGATCGGACCCAAGAGAGTGGAAGATGAATGTTGTGTGTGATCCGCCTTATTATTAATTTATAAAATTTATCTTAATTTGAATTAATCGATATTTTTTGTGAATTACACAGTGAAATTATAAATAAAAAACTATTATTTATTTGATAAGTATTAAGATTATACAAAAATACATGATTTTTGTTTTACATCGATAAGATTGGATTTGATAAAGACAATCATTTAGACGTGGAGTTTAGGGTTTATGGTTTAAGTTTTATCGATAATTCTAATAAATCTGTAACATTCTTTCGTGGATTCAAGAATCATGAGATATTAAGCATCTAAACCGTAAAGTTTAGAAAAATAAGAATTTTAATGCAGCATTTAAAATTTTAAATACAAATGGAAACGAACTAATAATTAATACAAAAGATCAAATAAACATAAATTTTTTTAATTTTTAAAGCCCTAATCGAAATATAATAAAAAATTTAAAAATCCAAAAACTCGAGATGGCATTGTTTCTGTGCTCAAGTGATCAATCCAAAAAGGTTTTCAAGTTGCACTGTTCTGTTGGGCCTATGTGGTGATGACGTGGCATAACATGGGCCGCCTAGTTCATAGAAAAAGCGCAACACCATAGCAATAAACCATGAAACCTCCTCCCTCACACATTCAAATCCACTGAGCAACGCACGACAGCCTCTCCTCCCTCTCTCTCTCTCTCCTGAGGGACACCGGAAAGAAAGAATGGAGCTGAGCTTGAGCACCTCCTCGCCGTCTCCAGCCGTTGCCGGAAGACTCAATCGTTCTTCTCCTCCGTTTCGTCACAATCGGCACGTGTTCGGCGTCAGCTTCCCTTCTGCGCTCAAACATGGAGGAGGAGGGGGAGCTCTGCGGTTTCCTCACCGGCCTTTGGTTCGACGCTCCATCACCTGCTCCGTTTCTCCGTCTACAGCCGAATCCTCCACCGGTATTTGATCGTATCTGTTCTCTGATTTTGATGTTCGGCACTTTGTTGTTGCTGTTCTTATGAAGCGGTTGATTTGTTTTTCCCCCCTAAATTCTTCTCAATGAACGGGTTTGATTTTGTTACTTGAATTGGTTATTTGGAGTTTGTGGAGTGTGAAATGATGGTCAGTATAAGAAAATGGGTAACAACATGGTGAAGCCTATATTTATCTTCTTGGATAATCTGATAATATAAGTTGGAAATTAGGATTTCAGTTTAATGGGTTCTGAATTTATGCGATAATTTTTTTTTGTCTGAGTAGGTTTTCTGAGAATTCCTCGTATGTTTATATAGGTGAGAAAGCTTTGTACGCTGTTGAATGAATATAAAGATTTTATGAAAACAAAAATTTGTTCTTTCTTCTGCCAACAGAGGTGAAGAAGAAGAAGTTGGCAAGGAGGGGCGATGTAAGGAATATAGCAATTGTGGCACATGTTGATCATGGGAAAACCACTTTGGTTGATGCAATGTTGAGACAAGCAAAGGTAACTGCTGAAGTTTCAATGGACCAACCATTGACCTCGTTTCTTCATGTGATTGGATCAAGTTATGGTCATAGTTGATTCTTCTTTACTTTGTGCAGGTTTTCCGAGATAACCAATTTGTCCAAGAGAGGATCATGGACTCAAATGACCTCGAGCGTGAAAGGGGAATCACGATACTTAGCAAAAATACTTCTATCGCTTACAAAGATACAAAAATAAATATAATAGATACTCCTGGTCACTCTGACTTTGGAGGTGAAGTGGAGCGCATCCTTAACATGGTTGATGGAGTTCTTCTTGTGGTAAACGTTATCGTCCATTACTCTGATTCGTAAGCATAGGATAATCTAATTTTGATTTTAGTTCGGCCCTTTTCATTTTTATGCATGGTCCCTGGTTTTGCAGGTGGATTCTGTCGAGGGCCCAATGCCTCAAACGAGATTTGTTTTAAAGAAGGCTCTTGAGTTTGGGCATGCAGTTGTGGTAGTCGTTAACAAGATTGATAGACCTTCTGCTCGTCCAGATTTTGTTATCAATTCTACTTTTGAGTTGTTCATCGAGCTAAACGCTACAGATGAACAGGTATGTCCCCTGATGTTTTAGTAGTATATTTTCAATTTTAGTGTCACCTTTTTTTTTCCATCTTTGTGTTGCATCTGTCATGCCTGCAAGAATACATGTAAAAGCTTCAAGAGGTTTTACATTTTACGAAGCAAAAAGACTGTGTAACTTAATGCAAAATCTTGTGGCATGCAGTGTGATTTCCAGTCAATATATGCTAGTGGAATCAAAGGGAAGGCGGGTCTTTCACCTGATAATCTGGCGGAAGATCTGGGACCCCTTTTCGAGGCTATAATCAGGTGCATACCTGGGCCAAATATTGACAAAGATGGTGCACTTCAGATGCTTGTAAGTGATTGTTCTTTCCTTGTTGACGGTCTTTACATTATCATCTGTATGTTTGTTTAACCCAATTAGGACAAAAAAGATACAATGCATCTGTGCTTCTTATTTTTCCTGTTTTGGTTATGTGGAGGATCGTAATGCATTGGAGTGGCCATCTTCATAAGGGTTTCTCACAGATATTTGCAGAGACAACATATTGCTGACATTATGTTTGAAATGTTAAAATTTTCAATTTGGCCTTGTGTTTGATCGGATGTGATCCCCACATCGTTTCAACTTTTTTGGTATGCCATTTCTTGATAAGTTTCTTAAATTTTTTATGTCTCCAGACTCCAGTAGAGTTCACCTACTATGATTATGCAATCAACATAGTTTTTGCATATGAATAGCTGCCTGAGGGCGCTTTATAGCATTGATAGGTTAGACTGTGCTGTAAAATACTCTGGTTGTTTTAACTGCCACAAAATTGATGGTCTGGTGTTTTAGGCTACAAATATTGAATATGATGAACATAAAGGACGCATTGCTATTGGACGCCTGCATGCTGGGGCGCTGCGCAAAGGAATGGACGTCAAGGTACTTTCTTATATACTCTAGAATCTATTTATTACTAGCCAGGCTTGAACTACGCATCTCGTCGAAAATATATATTGTCAACCTTATCCAATTTCTCTACCTTACTGCAACATCAAGCAGGTAACTTCTGCCTGTAGCTTATAAAAGGAAAGGTAATGGCTAGCTTGTTCTAGAATATGTGCTATATTGGTTGGAGGATATTGCTAAAGTTTAAATGAGGTCTCAAATTCATTTAAATTTGTGAAAAAAAGGTTTTCAGAAAGCGCATGGATGGAGAAGCAAACCTTTGTGTTAGTTCTGGATGACCGCAATAACAAATGTCTAGGGAAAACACCAGATGCAATTTAGATGCATAACCTGTGTCTTTCTTGAAAGATTGATGTTTTTGTTATATAGGAATGTGAACCAAAAAAGATGAACCATGTGAATATGCATCATCTTGCTTTAAGATAAAGAAATTGCGCTAGGTCTCAATTGAAGAGGACTAAGATGGAGTAACTTTTACAGGTGTGCACATCGGAAGATTCCTGTAGATTTGCAAGGGTTAGTGAGCTTTTTGTCTATGAGAAATTCAACAGGGTTCCGGTTGATTCAGTGGAAGCTGGAGATATTTGCGCTGTTTGTGGAATCGATGACATTCAGGTAGATGTCTATGCATGTATAGTTTAATGCCGATTACAGCACTGGTGCACCAACTCTATCTTATGACATTTTCTTCTTCTTTCCCTGGTGAATTGTTATGACATTTTGTTACTCTTAAATTTTTTCAGATTGGTGAGACTATTGCTGATAAAGCATTTGGGAAACCTCTACCTACCATTAAAGTAGAAGAGCCAACTGTTAAAATGTCATTTTCTGTAAACACCTCTTCATTTTCTGGCCGTGAGGTAGGTTTGATCATATCTGTTTTGACTGCCATGGCTTGATCATACACACAAGCATGGTATGAAAAATTGATAGCGGTATTGTAAACTTGGTATAGATGCGAACAATTAAATTCTTTGTACCCATTTCTTCAGGGGAAGTATGTCACCAGCAGGAA